CCCTCTCCAGTGACCTGTCAGGGCACTTACTGTGATCGTGCTTCGTTTTGGTTTGGTTAAATCTGCTGCTTTAATCAGCACTTCTGATTTTTTTCTTGATGTGTTGATACTGATTACTGTTGGGGTGGGGGGGAAAGATGCCCTTCTCTGAATGCAACGCTAGAGCAAAATATCCTGTCTTTATTATTTTCAGTTAATATTAGACTGAATAGTGCAACTTTGGCACAGTCTAAAGTGCGAACAAGGCGAATTAGACGAGAGATTACGCATTTTTGGCATTCTGGCATAAGCTAAAATAATTTAAGCTTTGTCTTTGGTGGTGGTCTTAAAGCAAATGGAATGTGAAGGTGGAATTCAGGACCAGCTCTAGCATATCCTGGTGTGAATTTCTTTCTTTAGAAGAGAGTGTTTAATTCCACATATTAACATGTTGGGCTATTTTACTAAAAGTGAAGTTACGCTGATTAGTTACACTACAGAAGCTAAAGTATGTACATCTGCTTGAAGCAGGCATTTAATGGCAGGAATAATGGCTAACTTTGCTCATGTAACATTTCACTTTAAGCATCTCGAGATGCACATAACTGACGCTACAGCTGGGAGAGGTTTTTATTTTAATTTATTTTTATTTTCTTTTAAATAAGCAGAATTCAAATCGTTTATTTTTAAAGTTACTTCCTCCCCTCAGATCGCAGGAATTTCACCTCCTTCCTTATCACAAGAATTTAATCCCCTTCCTTGCCAAAATGAACTGTCCTTCTCCTAAAATAAAACTATGATGAATGGGACTAGAAAGGTAAATTCTTAAACTTTCTTTTCAAATGTGCCATTACACAACAAAATTCCCGGTATTGATTAAGCCCAGGTGGTCTGCTCACCCAGCAAACAGATATTTTACAAAGCTTTATTATGCCTCATTAGAATTCAGTCCTTTAGAAGATTTCTAATTATATTGTCTAATAAAACTAAACCTTCGAAGCTATTTGCATATTATATGAAGAAATCTCATACAACAAACTCACAGTGGATTCAATTAACATAATAGCTAATTATATATCCCATCAGCCTTTAGAGTAGCTCAGCATTCATGTTGCTCCTGTTTTAGCCTAGAGCAAAGGAGGTTTGAATTTTCACTTCTAAATATTGACTTTTAACTAATATCAAAAATGATTTGAACACTTTTGTGGATGAAAAGATAATGATTAAACTACATGAAACATTTTAAAAGACTTGTTTCCAAGTCATTGAAACAATTCCTGTTTAAACCTAAGCCTTTCCATCTTATCCACTCTGAGTCTGTCCATATTTTATAAAAAAAAGACCAGATAGGTCTAATTATTTTGACAAATGTTTGATTGACAGCTTGGTTATTTTGAAACTGCCTATTTCCTGCACTTACATTTTGTATATTTTTCATTGCATTTTGTAATGCAATTGTATTCTTGGCCAGTTGTATTTATCAAGCAAGAAATTTAGGACTAGATTAACAGAGACATAGTAATGAACAGGCATTTGAGCACCCTATAATTGACTGTTATTAAGGTGTTGTCACAGCAGTCTGTAATGAATTCTCTTGTTTTCTTTTGAAATTGGATGAGATATTCTGGGTAAAAAAAAAAAAGAAAAAGAAAAAAATCCCACCGCAACACAAAAACAAATGCAAAAGTTTCCTCAAACCTTAAAAAAAAAAAAGAGCTCCAAAGAAACAAAGCCTTCTCCCCCCCTTTTTAAAGATTTCAAATGATTTGAAGGTGCTTCCAATTTTGAAATGCTCGGTAGAAAAAGCAGCGAGGGAAGGAGCAAATTTAGTGACTTATTTGAAAACTTTAAAAGAAAAATTGTATATTCATTAACCTACTCGTCAAATGTAATGAAAAACCTGCTGGATATCATATTTATGTTTTTACGCAAGATAGAAGATAAAGTTTGTTGCTGAGTAAATGGTTTTCTCCCATTACAATGATGGCTGCCTTTTCATTCATATTTTAATGAGGTTAGTATCTCTGAGACAGCTTTTTCGGGGTGGAGGCCCATGTCTCCGGTACAATTACAATAGGAGTTGCTTTATTGACAAGTACTATTCAAAATCTTCACAGTATAGAAAGAAAGGCTTTAGTTTTCCACCACTTGTCCAAATACTTATTCCTCTCCTACTATTAAAACACTTTCAGAAAGAGCACTCTCAACTTCCTAGAGCCCTGCACACCGGGCAGAGCACAGCCCAGCACAAAAATACTTCACTAAAATTCAAGTTGCATTTATCTCTGCAAAAATTTCCCTCATTAAAACCCAACAAGTAGACACCAAAATTTAACAGACTGGCCTGGCAGCTTCTGCATCCATAGATTTACAAGAAACATGCTCAGATAACAGTAGTTCCTACCTGAAGTGTGAATCTGACTCCAACCAAATGAGGGAAGGCAAAGTTATGCAGAGGTTGAGCATCCAATATATCCTTTATTAAACAGAAACTAAAAACAAGTAAATCTAACTTTTGGCAATTTTTGGCTATTTTTATTCATCTTCTTTGTGTATATGCTATCTCTCCAATATTTTTCATTACATTTTCATGGAGTACAGCCCAAATCTAAATATGATGCTAAATATAAGCCTGAACCCCATCACATAGGTGCCAGTACGTGTACAGAAACCTCCTTGTGCGTCCAAAAGAAAGCACACTCAGCAAAACCCTTTCTGTAAGTTTGTGGGGATTGACACATGAGTTTTGAGGGTTCGTTCTCGTTGTCAGATGTTGATTATGATTTCTTCCAGGCTGGTCCTTGTTTGTGCTGCACATCATAATGTTCAGGAGGTATGAGTACCCTGTGTTTGTGTAGGGTACCCTGCAGCATCCATGGGCTTTGACTCAGCCACACTCAATGCTTTCCTGACCAGCCAGGAAGCTGCAGGGGATATGAACTAAACACTTGAATATTGGTTGGAGTACAGACATGAAAAATATCTTTTTATTTTTCCAGAATTTGCAGAGTGAAACCCTCCCACTGATGATACAGGATCACTCTACGTGAAAAGAAATAGACAAGAAAAGTGGATTTCCCACTCAACTAACTTAAATTACTGTCCTGGGCATAGCCTAGAAGGGGGACAAAATTTAGTGCAATTTATTGCTATAGCAGTCAGATTGCAAAGAAAGAAAATCCCACCCAAAGCAACACTGACCTCAACAGAACTGATGCCAGGGCAGGAATTAGACTGTACGGTCGAATCTCACCTTTTGTCGTAAGGGCTATAAAACCTTCCTCCCACATTCACAGCTTTTTTTATTTTCTACCTTCAGAAACTGCCACATATTTCTTGGTTTTCTGGGGGAAAGTGTTTGCTCTGTACCTGGGTTGCCAGAGACTCTGCACTCTCTATGCCGGCGGGAGGAAGAAGCGGCAGAGTTTGAGTTTGGAGCACAAGTTTCAAACACCACAAGTTTCTGCCACCACTACATATTTTTTCAGTTTGTGAGACATTGTGTTTTCCTGAAGGAAAAAAAATAATAAAATATTTGCATCCCGGTAGATGAGATGGAATTTTAATAACAAAATGTGGGGTTTGTATGAGACTGTCTTTCCTGTAAAATAAGTCATGCTGCCCTACAAACAGGATTGGGAGCAAAAAGCTGCCGTCGTCTTATTATATTTTTTGTCCTCTTTTTTTACTAGGCACTTTTTTTGTGTTTCCCAGACTTTTTTTTTTTTTTTTAGTCACTTTTTTGCTCTTCCCAGGTTTCATAAAAAGTAGATTCCCCATCCGTATGTGACCGGGGGAGGGAGGGATTTCATAATGGGCCCTGGTGCAAGAAGAAGACGAAGGGGGACAGAGAGGAAAAAAACCCTCTAAGCTTTAATTTTAATTCTCCTGCCTTTATTTATCTGATTTGTGGCCAGATGGTGGTGAAGCAAGGCAACCCCTTTGTGCAAATGAAGCCCACATGTGAAAGTCCTTCTGTAATGTAATCATTGAGACCGGAAGGGTTCATACTGTGTCTGAAAAGAGACAATGGAGCCGGGATATATCAACATCGCCGAAATCGAGTTCATTTGCGATGCAGGCCCTTTGACTATGGTTGTCATGAAAACTTCCTACTTTGATCAGCAGAGGGTGGAGAGAAAAAGAAGAAGAAGGAAAAAAAAAAAAAAGTCTTCTAAAGGGGCAGGGATGCAGCGCGGGTGTTTGCTGTGCACTTGGCTCCGGTTCACGCCCCTTTCCGGAAGACGCAACAGGGAGAGGAGCATCTTGCACCTTGACCTGTCTAGACAGGGCGCGAAGTTTGGTTTGTTTTTTTTTTTTTTTTTGTCCCCGTTTCCAAGGGCGAGGGTTGCTCTTTGACCCCCACCACCAGCGGTGGTGGCTCTCAGGGCGTAGGTAGTGGACAGAGGTTTCCTGCTGAATTCTCGCCGCGGCCGGGAGGGAAGGGGATGGACAAAGACACGGACCAGCTGTTCGGAAATAAAGCTGAAATAGTAGAACCTGGGAGAAGCTAGGTTTCGTAAGCTATTATTTTCTGCACAAAACCCCTGGGAGGTATTAAACAGCTGCATCTGAGCTGGCGAGCAGCGGCTAAAAGACAGAGCAACAACTGAGAGCCCGGGACTTTTGCAAACTCCGCTTCAACCAGAGAAACAAGTGGCTGGAGCACCAAGGGCTTTCATGGCCCGAAACATCCGCCACCGCCGGCCGTGTCCCTTCGCCGCGGTCTCTTCGGGCTGCCGGGAGGTTCCAAACTGGGAGGCTGGCTGCTGGAGGAGGGCGAGGGGCGCGAGGGGCGCGGTGGGTGTGAGCTGGAAGGGTCGGCGCAGGTTCTCCAGGGCCACCTTAGCTGGAGCTGACGTTTTTAATTACGTGTGTAATGTAATGTGTCAACGGTTCTGCATAGCGAGAGGGATGCTCTTTTTTTCCTCTTTCTGCGATCTAACCGGGCATTATCTGTATGAAGTGTGGGGGTTTTGGTGATATAACAGGCAAAAAAAATCAATTTCTTCCTCCATGAGGTTCCTTTAGCTGAGTCAGAGAGCAACTTAACAGAGTTGTTGGGACAGAAAAGGAGCTGGGATAGATTTGCTCCTAGGCGAGGGGAGAAAAATCTATGCAGATTACAAAAAAAAAAAAAAAAAAAAAGCAGTGTTTAATCTGATGCTTAAAAAGCTTTGCAATTTGGGGTAGGCCAACACAACGAACGAGTAACCTTTTATTTTCCAGCCAAAGCTGTGTCAGTGTGCCCACCCTTTCTCGTCACTAGCAAATTCATGCAGATCGTGCCTTGTTTTAAGATTCTTGCCATATTTTAACGTACTCCATCCTGGTTGCTCACAAAAACCAGCTGAGTATTTGGTGATAACACTGCATTTTGTCAGATGCTTTATAACGTTATTTGGAAATGTTTTTGGATCTATTTAGGGCTTCATAAATATGAATAAAGCATTTACAAAAGGCACGCCACTTGCAGAAGTAACCCACGGATTAGACCAGCTGCTTTATACGTTACAGGTTTCCTAAACTTCGGCAGTTCGAAATTACATTTTACTCATGGATATTTTTTTTTTAAGTGATTAAATATAAATCGGCATTTCCCAGAAAAAAAAATCTCTGCTGATTTATGTGCAGGAAATAAGGGAATTGTACTAGTGGCTAAAGTCCAGATTGCTAACTGGAGTTTCAAATATTTATGGACAAATTAGGGGAGGAGGGGAGGGATGTCATCTTTTTTTTTTTTTCTTAGGCCTTTTGGCATAGGGATGAGTTTTTCTCAGCTAATTCTGCTAAAAACAACAAGGGCTCTGTCTGGCTTTGTGCCAGTGCCTTCATATACATATATATTTTTTAAATTTTTTTTTTTTTAGTGTTTTTGGGGTTTCTTTTTTTTTTTTTTTTTTAACTATTGTGAAAAGTGTGCAGAAAAAAAAAAAGACTCCCAAAAAAGCCAGAGGGTTGTGCTGGCCATTGCCTTTTGAGCAGTTTGGAACTTGAAAGAAGCAGGGGAGTGAGGCAGCAAGGAGCACAGGCACAGCTCTCGATCACTGCCAGCTCATGGTTATTGCGTGTCCTGGCAGGTATTGCTTTGATTTTTCAGTCAAGCACAGCAAAGAACCTTTTTCTGTCTGTCTGTCTGTCTGTCTGTCTGTGTACTGAGCATGACTTCCAGCAAGCAGATTTTATTTCAGTATGGTTTTTCTCCACCCATGTTAAAGGGCTTCCCCTTGTTTATGGGTTGAAGGCTAGATTCTGGAAACAGGAATTGCCTCTTAATATGCACCCTGACTTCTTACAAGGTGCCAAACACCAGGCTGGGTGGTGTACCCCCTTGGACCTGCCCTCACCCACCCCTCCTGGTGGGGCAGAGATCCATTTTGTGGCAGTGAGGTGAATTCCCAGCAGCTCCCTAAATGCTGGGGTGAGGGGGAGCTCAGCAGCTCAGTGCTGTCGACTGCTCTATCTGCACTGAAATCAGAGCTGCATCTGCAAGGCCAGAGAGCTGTCTTTATGGCACATCGTGACCACTAATATCAGACTACAAAATGGGCTTGTTTTATTTAAATTTCGAGTGCCTCCTCCACGAGTCCATGTTGAAAGGGGCGGGGGGTGTGGGGTCGGGTGTCCCTAACCAAGTAAAATGCCTTTTGGAGGGGCTTGCCGCCTCCCCCCCTCAGTCCATGAATGTGGTTTTGAAACAACAGTGAGGCTGGGCATGAAGTTTAAGTAATATTTGGTAGCATGAATTCTTGGGCATTCCCCATTCATCCCCACGCTGTGTAGGGCAGGGAGAGCAGAGCGAGCCGGGGGCTCCTTGCAGCCGCCCTGCTGATTTCTAGCTAAAAAAAAATAAAATAAAAAAAGAAAAAAAAAGGCACAGTACAAGTATCCTCCTTTTTTTTTTTTTTTTCATCCTTACAGTGGGAAAGTATCGTAGAGGAGTATGAAGATGAAATATTCTCACTTATCGCCCAAGAGGCAGACTATCTAGCTGACAAGCTGTGCAGTGAAAAATCAGGTACTGTGTCTGATGTAACATGTGCTCTCTCTACAGCCGTGTGGGGTTGGGTGTTTTTTTCAAACCCAGCGTACTGCTTTGGAGGAGAAGTGGGCTATGTTGAATAAGCAATGACACTACATGGCTTTTAAAGAGAAGAAAAAACCAAAACAAACCAAAACAAAGCAAAACTCCCCTTTCTTAAAGGCCTTTAATTCTTTTAATTCTTTCGTGCATATTAATGCAGCATAATTTGAGCATCCCAGCTAACGTGGTGTTTTTCCTCATGGTGTTACATGGTTTTTTTTGCTCCTTGTGTGTCTGCGCTGTCACTTCCAGGTCAGAAATGAAACTAACCCTCTTGCAACAAAATACAGGCATTTGTTTCTCCTGTTTAATTGCTAATTGCAGCCACTAAACTGAACTGTGAGACATGAGAGGGCAGGGTTAGAAATGTGTTGTTCATTTTTAGGTGAACTCTTCACTGCCATCAGACAAGAGTTGTCCTTAGAAGGGCTGGTCAGCCAAATGCCATCACCTGCTAGGGAGAACGTATTTTATAAATGTTTGATGTTTTCTTTCTCTGCAAATTATATAACTCCAAATAAGTAAAGCCTCTTTTCAATAACCTTATTTAAGATCTTCCTCCATTCCTCTATTTCTCTCTGTCATTTTCAGTGTGGGTGTTTTTTTGTAATTTTTATTTTTATTTCTGAATCTAAAAAGAGTATAAGGCACTAAGTACTCTAAGATTTTAAATGAAAGGGGGTTATCCTTCCTCAACGTGCTGCCTTTAGTGCAGGAATATTATGCATGAAAATATTGATCTCTGAATCAATGCTTGTAAATATTGGCGGGGGGTTGTTTGAGATTTAAAGGCTGTAACCATTACCTGGGATGTGAGAAACAGGGCTCATAAAAAGTACTAGAAGTTGGAAAAGAAGTTGTTAGGAATAAGTTTGTATACTTTAAAGTGTCAGAGTATTTGTAATACTTATTGAAAACACATGATCTGGAGCACTGGAGAACTCCATCTGTAATGCCACAAAGTTCTCTCTTATAATCTTCCTGGACAAATAATCTCCAGAAAATAAACTTTCCAGAACAAATTTGATTTATTACAGGTATTTCTTCTTTGTCATCTCTGCCATGATAGAGCTACTTTCGGTTGTGACAGAACAGACACAAAGAGTAGCAAATTATTTAGAAAACAACATACTTCCTCCAAAATGGACGACAGGGTTTCTGGTAGTGGGTTTTGCACAGAAAAACTTTCTGGGCATTTTGGAAACAAAACCCAGAGCAGTCTGTTGGACGGTGTAGAAAAATCATCATCTTCCAGAGTGATTTTCTCAGAGAAGAGGAGATGAGGATGAATGCTCTCTCCTCCTCGGGTCCCCTCATAGCAGCCTCTAACCCTTTTGGAGAACAAACTGCAGTTTAGTGCATCTTCAGGAACTCTGTAAAAATATTTTCTGAAGACACAGGAAAAATATTGATGTCAAAACCCACGCTGTTAAAAATCTCTTTTTAATTTTTTTTTTTCGTGGATATGCTCAAAAACTTTCACTTCCCCTCTCTCCTCCATTTAAAAATCACATTTTGGGTTTAAAACCAACACTGTGTGCTCATCCAGCCTTCTTACATCAAAAAGATAATTTCCTCCCTTCTGGCAGACGAGATTGCTGTAACTGCACGTTCGCCTCCTTCACACAAATAACCCCCTGCATATGAGCAGGGCTGCTCTTCCTGACTATAAATAGTGGTCCACAGAGGGGAAAGTAGTTTAGTTTTCTTCCTGGCAATTAGCGCAGATAAACAAGCTTCCATTTAGTAAACAGAAGTATAAGTCCTCAACGTTGCAAATATAGGATGCTTGCAAAAGCGGCAGGAACACTACAGAGGATGCTGAGCTACCTTGGCATGAAAATAAGGACAAGAAATTAATCTGCCATTTGCCGTATCACCCCATTGCCCTTTTAAAAAATGTTAGTATGACAAAGAATAAAGACGAAAAAAAAAGCCACTGAGAGGGTTTTTTTTTTTAAATCTAATTCGCTCTACATATAAAGTGGGATGAAAATAAATGTATTAAATTGAATTTAAGATAATGAATACATGTTTTCATAAACTCTGCAGCAGGCAGGAGATGGCAGAGGAGCACAGTAATACCTGACAGAGCAGGAAAGTGCCTGTCTATGTTTTTCCAGGGAAAATAAATTCAGACACCGGTGGCATTGGAAATGGCGAGTCTTCGAATTTGTGTCAGGCTTCACGCCAGCCACGCAGCACCAACATATAACTTACCAAAGCCTCCAACTCACAGAACACAATGAGACTTATATTATTAGGTCTTATCTATCTTACAACGGCAATTTTCATTAATACGTTATATTAAAGCAATATTACACTCTTATCACCCTACTGTAAATTATTGGCTCTTTTTATTCAGAGCTCCGTGTGTTCATTCAGAATGGCATTTTTAACTTTTTTTTTTTTTTTTTTCCTAAATTATCATACTAAGCGACAGAAACAGTATAGAAAACCTCTCCACAGGCCGGTTGCAGATTTTGATGCCGTGCAGGAGGGGAAAAAAAAAAAACCAAAACCAAAACCAAACCAAGTCAGTGATGTATTCATTTCATTATCATGCTTTTAATTTTGTTTTAAAAGTCTACGTATGTGAACATGGCTTATTTCTTGTGGGCCATTGCGGACTTAATACTGGTGTAATCAAACCCTTTTTATACTGTGCTATGGCAAAATAATAAGGGTTTGCAGTTTTCTCTCAGCCTACCAACATGACATTAGTGAAAGTCCCATGTTATGGTAAGAGAACCCCTTCTCTGCAAGTCCCGTTCAGTACATTTCTTTAATTCTAATATCATAGCAGACTTTTTTTTTTTTTTAATGGCTACTAGAGGTGGATGTTTCTTGTTTGATTAAAAAGTGGGAAACTTCAATAAAGTCTTTTAGCATGATCAAACCGTTTGATATTTACAAGCATAGATCCACTCACTGTCATGTATTCTTTGATCACGCAAAAAGTCTCAGTGCTAGACAGGCAGGCCAAACCTGCTGAGATGCACCTTCAGATCCTCTACTATTTTTACAAGCTTAAAAAAAAGTCTAAAAGTTAATTTTTGAGGAGATTAGCCTTTTTTTTATTATTTCCCCCCCCTCCCCAAACAGGAGGTGCCAGTTGCTGGTCAGCCCAATGGAATAACAGAGATTTTTTTTTTTTTAATTGCCCTTTAATTTTCTTTGCTGCTTGTAATAATTTTCTGTGTGCTCTTTCTGGACTTAGGTGTATTTTTAGTTGTAATAGTTGGTGCTCAGTGCCATGCCAGCAGCATTTCATTCAGGGTTAAATGGAGTTATGTGAAGGCCAGTAAGAAGCCAGAAGCCAGTAAAAGCTTGTGGTAGTGTACAGACCAGAGCCAACTGACTTATAAGTGGAAAATAATTTAACACCACATATTTTATGGGTGCTGAAAGCTACTGGTTAAGTAACAACAGGACTTCTCCTACATAATTTTATTTTTATGTGCTCACAGCTATAAAATGTTCTGTTTGGTTAAAATCTTCCAGTCCCCATTTTATCTTAGAAGTGACTTATCCCATGTGTTTCTTTACTTAGCTGTTTGCCAAGTTTGACTATAATTTAGGCACCCGATGTTGAGTTATAGAAAAGTGAAACAAAACGCTCTTATTCAACTGCAAAGAAATCCAGAAGTCTCTTTCTGCACAATTATCACTCAAACTATTGTGTTTTTGCAAACTGATACTTTCTAGGAGGCTCATTCCCAGTGAGAACTACTCTCCTGGAGAGTTTAACAAAGCTAGCAGCTACATCAATTAAAAGCAACTAAAATGTCTGTTATGGGTATGTGCAGATTATTAAACTACCATTAAACCATTTACCACTTACCTTAACACTCTCTGCAAGATTATGGTTAATAAAGGCAATAAATGGGGTGCGAAGCTGTGGTTTAACACTGCCCCAGCACTCCGGAATTACATATTTTCTCACATTTTTCTCCCCGTGCAACTAGGAAAAAGAACAGTGAAGAAAAGAGCAGAGATTAGCTTTTGCAACCCTGCCCTGCAATAGGATTTATGAGCACAGATTTCCCCAAATACTACAAGGGATTGAAGGATCCCTATCGGTGGGGTTTACTAAAGAGCTGGGCTGTGTCACTCCTTGTTTTAAAATACAAAGTTTGATCCAAAAAAAGTCAGATTTTAGCTGCAGCAACAAGGCTATACTGGGAAGACAGGGGAAAGTGAATTTAAACACTAACATAGTCCCCTCTGGAGATAGAGATGGGATATTTTCTATGTTTATTGGTGTCTTGGGGTGCAGTATGCTGGGGTCTGTTCTCCAAGGCCAATCTGTGACCAACCCTGTCACCAGCAAGTGCCCAAAGCCAGATGTGAAACACACCTGGGCAGCGACAGGTTCACCATAAAAGCTTGGGTGCTTTCCAGGTGGTTTTCTAGCAGCTGTTTCTCCATAAATTGTGTTTATGTGATGTAAAAATCATTAGAGAACCCGGTATCGTGGGGTAGTTTTTAGTTCAAATGAGCGAGAGTTTTCAGGACTTTGCAAAAATGCCGTCTCATGTGGGCATGCACGAGTCGTGTCCGTGCCCTGTATGGGAAGAGTTGGACACTCAAGTATTTAAGACATTTGAGGATAGGAATTGAGAATAGATTGCTTCATTCTGTTTTTTAAAGATCCTTCTTAATCTGTTTCAAAGAGTGTATCTGAAAGAGCATGACTCGCTGTCAGTGTGTCATGGTTATGCCTCACGCTGTTCCTCCTTTCTGATTTATTGCCCAAAGTTGTTTAACATGCTCTAATTTTCAACTTAACACATCCAGTGGTGGAAGTGCTTCAAGAAGAAAACCTGCTTTTTTCTAGTTTGAAAAACATGTATTTTTAATTAAAGGAGCAGGTACTTTCAGCAAAGCGTTACTGTGCAGGACATCAGTAAATCACAGGGAACTTTTCCTTC